AACTGGTTTCAGGTTTCACTTTCTAAAAGTATCAGAGAGACCATCGTACCATTGCTCTTATAGACATCTGTGACTTACCTGATAGAATCGAATCTCATGAGGTAGGAAGATACTTATTTCACGGGGATCTTTAAGAGTGTCAACAGCCAAGACACCAAAGATCCTCATATATGTATCCTGAAGAGGCAGGGCCAGGAATGAGCCATTACAATCATTCTTATGACGGGTATGGTTCCAGAAGAAGATGTTCCCATGGTACTGAACTTGGGGGACATGAATTGGCTTCCCTTCGTCCACTACTGTAAAGCTGAAGAAAAAGAATATGAGTATAGGAGAAAGGCACAAGAGGCAGATTTAGATTAAGCCATGGGGGGAACTAGATTGAGTCTCCATTCATAATCATTGGCATTAAATGTCAGAGAAGTCAACTCAGGTAAGATTACCAGTTTAAAGGGTCTGACTTGAAAAAAAGGTTTAAAAAAAATAAGCTTACATCTTTATATGTATATATATATATATACATATGTATGTATGTATGTATGTATCTATCTATCTATCTATCTAACAAGCTTAGATCTTTACAGAGAAAACATATGCACAGAAAGGATGCTGGAGATGTAACTTACAGAGCAGGCAGGAATAATTGAGCTGATACTGTGAAGCAGAGTCCCTGTGTGGCAAATCATCGCCCAAGGTTGAGCTGTAGAAATGCCCAGGTGAAATCATCCGGGCTGGATGCCCATCAGCTCCTACTGTAGAAGCATTGGTGACTTGAGGCGTTTCTCCTTTGACAGCTGATGAGGATTTGGATGCTAGTTTACTTCAGATAGGGAATTATTTTTTCAGAAGGATGAAACTAACCTCCTCAAGAAGTTCTTACCTGATTCCCTTCATGTCCCTGTAGAGCACTTTGTTCAATACAAATGGAGCATCATCTAAGGTACAAGCCACGTTCCTCAACAGAACATTTCCTCTATCAGGCAGTTGTTGGTTTTCTTCTAAGAGGGAAATATGAGCACTGATCTTCTTATTTCCATGGGCATCAGCATCCTATGGCGAAAAATTTCTGAACGTGTATTTGCTAACAGCCAAAGAACTCCCCTAGTATATCTCCCTTCATTAGCCTATTTGTGTATCTGGCCCAAATAATTTCATTTTCCTGTATAGGTAATGCAGATATTACCATTTGCAGGCAGTGGGGAAAAGGCTGACACCACAACTGTCCCCCCAAATCGAGTTTTAGGGAGTAGAATAATTTCTCTCCCATAGCATGCACCTCAATTTGATTGGTTTACTGGATAAACAAAAACAAAAATCCTCTCAAATCTACTCAAATTTAGAGGTTTAGAACTTGGATCCCTTTGAATTGTAGTCAAATTGTTTGGGCTTCAGTTAAAAGTATTGATCTTAAGGAACTGGAGCAAGAATATGCCTTCATTTCACTCAAATTCTTGACCATCTAATATGATGTGAATAGGAAAAAAACATTCCAAAGCATTTTTTTTTCCAGACAGAGTCTTACTCTGTCACTCTGGTAGAGTACCCTGGCGTCACAACCTCAAACTTCCTGGCTTAAGCAATCCTCCTGCCTCAGCCTCCTGAGTAGCTGGGATTATAGGCACCCACCACAATGCTTGGGTATTTTTTTCTATTTTTAGTAGAGACAGGTGTCTCCCTCTTGCTCGGGCTGGTCTCAAACTCCGGAGTTAAGGCGATCCAGCTGCTTTGGCCTCCCTTCAAGCAATTTTTGAGATATTTGGATATTTTATCTATGTCATTTCAGGACTGAATTTCCTGAGGCTTAAGACTGCAGACTCACTACAACTAATGTTTCTAATTAAAATAACTGAAAATTCTCTATACCTAAATATTATGTTACTAACACTAGCTAGTATGTGTTAATACACACATGGAACATATCCATAAGTTGGTTCTCTTAGGGTAGCACAGATCTCTGAAGCAAGTTTGAGTAGTGCTTCATCTTGAGTTGTCTCCTGGTCCTGATGCACTGTTTCCATCTACATTAGGAAACTGAGCCATTCAAGAGATGATTTCATTGTTACTATTTAGCTGAGATGATTGGTGAGCCATTGCCTGGATCAATGGATTCGTGATCTATGTAGAAGGCCCCTCTGCTCTCTCGGCCTGGGAGGAGCAGGAATCAGGAACTCTCTGAAGAGGTGGAAAGGCTATGGCTAGTGGCCCCTGGGGGCCATGTGTTCTAAGTGACAGGATTGTGAAATAGTCTTAGCTTGATTCTAGTCAGTGCCGTAAAATACTGTGTGATATTGGATTCTACTTTGTATTTATGATTTAAATTGCTCCCTTTTTTTTTTTTTTTGGAGACAGACTCAAGCTGTCACCCTGGGCAGAGTGCCGTGGCATCACAGCTCACAGCAACCTCCAACTCCTGGGCTCAAGCGAGTCTCCTGCCTCCGCCTCCCAAGCAGCTGGGACCACAGGCGCCCGCCACAACGCCCGGCCATTTTTTGGTTGCAGCCGTCATTGTTGTTTGGCGGGCCCGGGCTGGGGACTCGAACCCGCCACCCTAGGTGCACGTGGCTGGCGCCCCAGCCGGTTGAGCTATAGGCGCCGAGCCAAATTGCTCCCTTTTAAACTGACCCTCCAAATATCATGGCTGGGAGATGCAACTTGAACTCCTTGCACATCTTCTTATTGGTATTTTTCATTCTCTATCTATTGTCTATTCTAGGTTTATTTGACTCTCAGAACAAATGAAATTAGAAATTCCAAGACATCTTTTCTTTTTTTCTCTTTTTTTATTAAATCATAACTGTGTACGTTAATGCATTTATGGGGTACAATGTGCTGATTTTATATACAATTTGGAATGCTTACATCAAACTGGTTACCATGGCCTTGACCTCACTTAATTATTGTGTTAAGACAATTATACTCTACTCTTAATAGATTTGGCATGTACCCTTGCAATATGCACTGTAGGTGCTACTGTAGATGTTTTATTCATTCTAGTACATTACAAATGCTCCAACCTCTAGGAGATTTGCAACTAGAATGATTGCCAGTGGGTAAGATGGAAGCAGAGAGGTGATTTTTCAAGAGAATTCAGTATGTCCCTCTTTTGCAATCATTGTATATCACCTACTCTGAGGAAATGTTTCCTCATATATATCACTTTAGAAAACATACCTGGGTGAGGGCCTTAAATGTCTCCGTATACACTGGCTCCAGGGACACCCCACTTTTCTGTGCTGCATATTGGATTTGGTGTAGCCATTTTCGTCTGGCACTATTCCTCAGACCCTCAGTGTGGCTCCTCTTTAGATTATTCATCAGAAATTCCACCACACTTTCCAGAATTTGATCTTCATTCCCCCTGAGTTCAGATACAACCAAATCTATGTATTTCTGAAATTGTTTTGAAGACAACCTCATTTCATGATCAGGGTGTGGCTTTGGAAATTGGAAGTGTAGTTTAGCTAAAAAACAAACACAAAACCAAGAACTAACCAAAAGTTGATTTATCAGTGGGGGAAATTTTTATTCTCCTCTTCTAGTGAACTGCAGCCCTTGACAACTGCTCTCCTGGAAACCCAAGTATCCCAAAGACATCTCTGAACATAGTAGAATATTTCACAGTGGCTTCCTATGCTGAACTCAATATAACTCCAACATCATTTTCTTTGTTTTATTTTGTTTTACTTCTACCATTCAGCCTGGTGAAACCTCAGGGCCTACTTTGACTCCTACATTTGTCCTCTAAATCCACTTAATCCTATTCTGTTACTCTTTGACAACATGGCTAATCCTTGTGCCACTCTTCTCTGTTCCTACTTTCATAACCCCAAGCCATTTTATAGCTGACTTATCTTTTTTTTTTAGAGACAGTCTCACTTTGTTGCCCTCGGTAGAGTGCTGTGACATCCCAGCTCACAGCAACCTCCAGTTCCTGGGCTTAGGGGATTCTCTTGCCTCAGCCTCCCGAGTAGCTGGGACTACAGGCGCCTGCCACAACGCCCAGCTATTTTTCTGTTGCAGTTTTGGCTGGGGCTGGGTTCGAATCCACCACCCTTGGTATATGGGGCTGGTGCCCTACTCACTGAGCCACAGGCGCTGCCCCCTATAGCTGACTTATCACTAGTAAAATCAAAACACAACTGGAATTATCAATTCCCTGATTCAAAGTCCTACCATATTTGAATGCAGTCTCTTTCTAATCCTATTTGCTCTTACTACAATATAGGAGTTATTTGCTCTAGTATGCCCATTCTTCTCATGGTTCCTGACTATGCCTTGCATGCTTTTGCATCTACACGTCTATTTTTTTTAATTGTATAATCATGAACCTACTACCAAACCAGAACGTTATCAGGAACTTACATTTTCCTCTATGATCTACCCTATTCCATCCTCTGCTTCCCCACACTCTTACCAATTCCTGAAATTTGGCTTCATCTTCTCCCTTTTTCTTTTCCCAATATTCTTACATGTGTACTGTAATTATATAACAATGTATATGTGTATATGTATACTCACACATACACACACATTGTTGACTTCTAAATAGTACATGATTTAGTTCTGCCTGTTTATAAATGTAGTTTTCTGAAACTTGCTTTTATATGCACCATTATGCTCCCATAGCCATCCATGCTGTTTCTGTAGCTGCGACTCATTCATTTTCACCACTGTGTGTTATTATGTGAGTATCCCATCACCAATTTATTTATTCTCCTAGCAATGGGTGTTTAGGTTTAGGCCATTTTTGATATTTTGCTATTATGAATAGTGTTATGAGCATTTTATACAATGTCTCCTGATGCGTATGTGCAAGTTGCTTTGACAGTTGATATAAACTAGAAAGTCAAAGGGTATGTACTCTTGCCCTTCAAAGTATAACTCAAACTCCCTCCTTCTTCAAGAAGTCTTCTACCATGATTTCTCCTCCTGAAAGACATTAGCATACATTCTGTACCATTTATTTGACAATGAACCAATTCTACCTTGTACTGTCGTCATATTACCATGTGTAAGCCTCCCACTTCTGTAGTTGAACATTCATTGATTTTTGTTCTTTAGCATCCACTCATTATTCTCTTGGTATTTGTATGTTGAATTTTGCTTTGGGGAAATCTCTCTGCCCTCATTTCAGTTCACATGTTTAAGTGGGTTCCACTCATAGTTCTAGAGGTGGGGCATGCATCTTAGGTGTAAGCCAGTCAGGATACACTAGTCCTCTAGCCAGAGCCGAATTTTTGCTTGAATGATTAAGAAAAGGACACTTTTTATGCCCACTGAACTTGAATGAACTTGTGAGAATGTGAAAAGACCTGGTCACAGAAGGGGAGGGGTTGGTGGTAGCAATGGAGCTACAACATAGAAGAGAGCAGGGCCAGACCAAAAGCAAGAGCAAGAGAAAGAACAAGACACCCATTCTAATGTTATTATTTGAATTCCCAAAGCTAGTTGTGTCCTGAACTAGCAATGGACTTTCTCATTGCAGGAACCAATACATTTCTTTTTTGCTTAACTATATTGGATTAAGCTTTCTATTACTTGATCCAAAAGAATCCTAACGTCTACAGTCCTCCATTAGATTAAAACCTGTGGGGTTTTCCTCTATTTTTCTTCTTTCTATTTTTATTGCTTTCTTGAACAATTTTGTCCTAAAGCCATTAGGTGGGACAGAGCAAGGTAAGCATCTGCTTGTGGTCAGCAGAAGCCACAGTAGTACAGAGCAGGAGATCAGAGTTTAAATGGGTTAAGGACGGCATCTATGCAGGGATGGCTTGGCATTGGCTGTCTAAGCCTGAGCAGGGTGAGGAGGGTGTCCAGGTGGAAGGACAACCTTCAGCCCATGGGGATAAAGAAGGTGGCCCTACAGAGAGGTGGTGTACCTTGGGGTGCCAGAACCCAAACAGGATGAAGAAGACAACCACATGAGGTATTTCATCCTGAGCAAGGGAAAGGCGTACATTTGAAGGCACAGCCTGGTCTGGAAAATTGGAACCTAAACAGGGTGAGAAGAGTATCTCTGTGGAGGGGCCATCCAGCATGGGCAACAGAGCCCAAGCAGAGTGAAAAGGAATTCCTGATGTGGGGTCAGCTCAACGTCGGGAGTCAGAGTGGACTGAGGAGGTCAATCTATGTGAAAAGGTCCCGCGGCATGCCATGTCAGAGCCTCGGGAGCGTGGAAAGGGCTGCTCTGGTGTGAGATGTCAGAGGCTAAGCGCAGTGAGGAGGACAGATTAGAGTGGGATGTTGCAACTTAGGTGTAGTAAGAAGGAAATCAATGTGACAGGGCAGCAGCAGCAGGAAGAGATAAATTTTGTATAGAACTAATGGATTGATTGGGAGGTTGATCAAATGAGTAAGTATTTTTAGAATACAACAAGCCAGAGAGATGGCAGCTTTAAGGTAAAAAGTTAGAATTAATCCTGTTGGATTAGACTTGGAAATATCAGTGTGAACTCATGTTTTTTCATATTAAAGAGAAAGTGCTGTACAAAGGTAAGTGTTTGTCTACATACATGCATACATGTGTGCGTGCACACACACAGACACCCACACACACACTCCCTACATCTGACCACTGAGAAACCTGGGAGTAGAAACCTATGAGCAAAGAGTTCATGTAGAACCCAGATACTGGCTTGTAATTACCATTCTCCACTAAAAGAAAGCAGATTTGTTGAGGAAATGGATGCTTCCAGAGTGAAAGCAGGGAAGGTGTAAATGCACTGGACGGTCTCATTGCACCAGAAAGCAAGGAAGTGCTCAGGAAATGATGAACACATGTTAAAGTGATGCAGGAAACTGGCCATGTCTTAAAAAGCTGAACATACACCTTCTGGCGCCCCACCCACTGAGCTACAGGCACTGCCATTTATTTATTATTTTTGTTTTTATTTTATTTTTATATAAAAGTTTTTCTTTTTAAGAGATAAAGTCTCACTCTGTGCCCAGGCTGGAGTGCCGTGGCTATTCACAGGTGAGATCCCTCTACTAATCAGCACAGGTGTTTCCATCTGCTCTTTTCTGAGTGGGCTGGGTCACCTCTTCTTAGGCAACCTTGTGGTTCCCTGTTGCCTGGAAGTCACCATATTGATGCCAAACTTAGTGTGGACACCTAATCAGTGGCATAGCACACTACATCCCAGAATTCCTGGGCTCAACCAATCTTCCCACCTCAGCTTCCTGTGTAGCTGGGACTACAGGTGTACTCTAGCACACTCAGCTATTATTATTATTATTATT